AACTAACCGTGTCTGCAGTGAAACTGAAATATCACCCTGCTGTTTGGGATGTTGATGGCTATCTCACATCTGTCCACACTGCGCTCTCTCCACGACGCACAACAAAACAGGGGAAGCACGCACTGAAAATTATTAAAAAGCATATGATAATCAGTAAACACTGTACCATGAATGAATAATACTGATGCATATGAGTTAAGGCACTGGGTATTAATATTGCTGGTTCTATAATAATAATTTCATCAGTATTTTTGTCTCGCTTTCCAGTGCAAATGTCTAAACATTCATAAATCAGGATGCATTTACTTGAGTTGCAAAATGACATAACTTAAGATCTCTTTCTGAGAAATTGATCAAAATGTTATTAATATAATAAATAAAATATAAAACGTTATTTATAGTTATTAATATTACCAAGGACAAATATCTGCTAATGGGCTCAGAAAAACCAACTTAAAGCAACTGCCCCATTAATAGATCTTCATTTCGCATCTCAAGTAAATTTTGATTTAACCCTCTGGTTTTGTTCATTTGGGGGTCACACTTGTGTTGTTCACGGTCAAAAGTGACCGGAAAACTGAAATGTAATTATTTTTTATTTTGTATTTTGAATGAATTTCATGGTACTAATTAATATTTATGCAATAATTATGATCAATTTTTTCCCTTTGAAAAAAAAAAAATGTCCCCCTAATATTTTATATTACTTTTCAATTATGGCAGTATTTCATGTTAAAATAGAGACAATGCCTTTAAAATCCAATTTTTGAATGCAAATTAGTGCCATCTGGTGGGAGTAAAAAAATGAAAAACATCTGCAATTCCATGATTAGCCACTAGATTCATATAGAGCTTATAAATTTTCTAGTTGTTTTTAGACATACATACTTTTAATTCTCTAGTTGTTTTTAGACATACATACTTTTTTTTAATTAAGTTGTGGATTTGATACTGTTTTTTTTTAACCTTAAACCGCATAAACACATTTCATTACACCAAATACACAAAATACTGTTCTTTTTAGCAGCATCATATGACCCCTTTAAGTAGCGATTTTTAAAATTTCGAAATATATATATATATATGCATAAAAAGTACTGTGCAAAAGTCTCAGGCCATTAATATTTTCCACCAACAAAAAATGGTTTTAAGCCAGTTACGCAGCCCATCTGCGATTACATGAAGAAACAGAAGAAACCGAGACAGACTAAATCCAGAAGAACTGTGGCAACATCTTTAAAACACTTGAAGAAACCTTCCTACAAAGCCACTGTGAAAAGTTTTAGGCACTTATGTAAAAATGCTGAAAAGTGACGATGCTTTCAAAAATAATGTCATAAATAGAGGTTATCTATCAATTAACTTCTATTAACTAAATCAAATCAACACTTGGTGCGACCACCCTTTGCGTTTAAATCAGCTTTTGCCCTTGGTGCACTTGCACATAGTTTTTCAGGTAGCTTTGCAGGTTTTTTGAAGTGTTTTGTAGATGTTGCCACAGTTCTTCTGGGTTTAGTCTGTCTCTTCATGTAATGATGCTGAGATCAGATCTCTGTGTGGAGCATTGGCTGTTGTCAGACTCCTTGTGCAAACAAAAATCTCACTGGATTATTACAATTAATGGCAAAGGGAATGTTTGTAAATGTAAACTGATATTTCCTACTGACACACTACAGCGAACGATAGAAATAACTGACTGAAAACCATTTTTTTGTTGTTGTTGTTGGTGAAAATACTAATGGCCTAAGACTTTTACACAGTAGTGTATGTGTATATATATATCATCACATACCCCCTTCTCCAGTGGATCCAACCATATTTCATCACCAATTCTTGACAGAGCATGAAATGCTTTTCCAAAGACTAGTAAACAGAGACATTTATTAACAGAACTCGCTCAGAGAAGATTTATTTAGATAATATATTGAAAAAATTTGTCATACCTTTAACGCCATTGCCTTCAATGACACACTTCATTTTATTTTCCCTTGTTCAATATTTGACGCATTGATTAGACGCTAAATTAATACGATCTACAGTACTTTTATGCACATTTTTCAGATGACGCCAAAAATTCTAAGAGGAAACCTTTGACAAAAGTGAATTTAGAGAATAAAAACGTTTATTTATTTATTTATTTATTTATTTTACCTCAGCGCTCGAGAGCTGGAAAGAAGAGCGGGAAAGAAAGATCAGTTTCATCTAACTGAAAACGCGCGCGCTCTAGTTCTCACCAGCGTTTGTCAAAGTTTATTCAGGATTTTATTGGGTTTACTATAATAGAATAGAATTGTGCATGGCATAACGTATTCCTGACACCTTCCAACAGGGAATAAATACTAACCTTTCCACAGGTTACAATAAATTATACAAAAAATACTGTATAGTGAAAGTGTGCATAGATAAATACTCACCGATACATACAAACAGTACGCTAAGGTCGATTACTAAGCATTTGTAAAATTTGTATTTCAGAAGAATATTAACGTAACAATTGGTATATAAACATATACGCACCTCTCGATAAAAAAAATCAATGAATACAAATAAAAAGTTATTTATCAGTTTGTCTTAGTGAGTTAATACGCATAGGAACTGAATATATTGAGAGCAGCGGGCGACCGGAACGATTAAAGCGTAACACAGAAACACTGTGGATGTAAATATGAAAATCCTAAGTGCTAAAAGTTTATCATGGAGACATTTACACCTATAAACATACAAAATGTGTTCATATGGAAGTCGATCGGTCTTCGCTTAGTTCGATCACGCATTTCGAGCTGTCAGACTGCAAACTGTCTTATTGGAAAGAGGTTTTTGCTATAATGGCTTGTAATGATGACTGGCAGGTAGCAGGGCGCCGAGCGGCTAGAAGAGGAAAACAACCTTCAAACCCCAAACTAGACTCACACCAGGTGGCTGACTGCAAACCGGACAAGCAGAAGATATTAAACGCCATGTGAGGGTTTATCTGCCACTATCACACATTACATGAGTGTCAGTGACACGGTACATTATCATAACTCAATGGTGTTCTTTTAAATACCCCGGAGTCTTATGTAAATAGGAAAGTGCATGAATTTTAGGTTAGGGATTGTGCTGTTCATGTTGTCTGTGAGCTCTCTGAAATGTTCTTTACCTTCACAGGAATGAACTGAGAGGGGAAAACTTCTGGATGGAGTGGAAAGGTGATGTTGAATTACAGCTGTACCCTCTATAAATGTGAAAATACAATTTGTAACGACCCCTTCTCCACCTCCAGATCTCCTGTCTGAGCGTCTTCATTCCAACGCTTCTGGTTCCTCAGAGCAGAATGGAGATGTTTCTCTTCAGCTCTGTGTGTGTTACGGTTTGGGTCACTTTGCTTCTTGTGTATCTGCCCGATACCAGCTTGCAATGTTGTTACTGCTTCTAGAGACACTCCAGGTATATGCGTTTCATTCGTATGATTTCTATGAAAGGATTTGTCAATTAAACATACAGATATTCTCTTTTTCCTCAGATTCCAGTGGGCAGTTGTTGTGTGTATGATCCTGTGTTTTCTGCGTCAGAGTGTGATGTCCTCAAGGAGCTGGGCTTCACTGTGTTGACTGAAAATGAGGTGCACACATCACACATCTACTGACATAAAAAGACATGTGTTTTGCTGTCAGTTTTCAAGCAGTATGTTCCTAACAGGAGGGAAAACGAGCGGTTTATCAACCCACCCTGTTTTACCTGATGCATTGTGGGAAGGCTCTGTATAACAACCTGCTGTGGAGAAATTGGACGCCTCAGACATTGCCAAAAATGATTATAATTGGCAACAGTTTTTATGGCATTCAAGAGAGGTGGGTGTCTGGTGTTATACAACACATTATTGATTAAAAAAATAACATTTCAAAACAATTACACTTTTTTTTTATTGCAGCTAGTTAATGAAAAAATAAAACTGAAATAAATTAATAAAAACTATATAGACATTATTTCAACAGTATTTACTACTATTGAAAAAGGCAAAATTGTGTGAACATTTAAGCAATTTTGAGTCTTATTCATGATGTCTGTTTAATTGTTTTCCTAGGATGCTTCAGAGAGAGTTTGATAGAGACTACAGCTTCCTTTCAAATGTATCCTTGACTTTTATCTTACATTACACTTTTACAATTCATGCATGTTTATAAAGAATTTCAACATCATAAATGCAGTAAAATACCTGATAAGATGTATAAATCCTCAATTTATGCAGTTACATCGGCATGTATGATAAAATTGCATTTATTTTCTTGTTGATTATCTTAATGTCACAAAGGTTGACCACATAGGTGTTACATTGTAAATGCGAGCTTTAGATTCTCACAGGTTTACATTTTTCCTCCATAAGGACTCACAGGCCTTGACTAAGTGCTGTTTTAGGTGATAAGTGTGTGTGACGAGACGTCTCTGCCCTGCTCACCGCGATTCCTGGATGTGTTCAATGACACAGCGCTCATTCAGTTCCCTCCGGAAAATCTGAACAAACTCCCAGAATGCATGTGGATTGAGCCTTCAGAGCCACTGTACCAACACTGCCAAGATCTGGAGATCATCCAGAGAGAGAAAAAGAGCTGAAAAATGTCACTGCTTTAAACATGCAACAACATTTGTTTATTTCCAGTTTCTTGTTGTGTGTATGTTTTTTTTTTGTTATTCATAGAATAAAAATACCGTTTATAGTCTTTTTTAAATAGAAGTCTTGTTTTCTTGGGACTTAGAGGTTGTGCATTTTTTTGTACAACTGGAAAATATGGAAGGCCATTTCTGCCACAGGATAAAAAAAAAAAAGGTAACTGCAAGATTTAAATGCAGAATTATGAGATGTTAATTCAAAATGAGTTATAAACGTGCAATTGCAAGAAAAAAAGCCAGAATTGTGAGATTAAAAAGTCGCAATTACCATTTTTATTTTTAATTCTGTGGCGGAAAGCAAAAAAAAAAAGTGTGAGACGTAAACTCAGAATTAGGAGAAAAAAGTCAGTTCATATCACAATTTTATTTTTTTAATGGAATTCTGCCAAAAAAAAAGAAACTACAAAATTATGACAGTTGCATAACCAATGTTCACTCACAGAAATGAGAGTTTATTTAGTCAAACATTTTAATGACTTCAAAACTTTGTCTTCAAGAGATTGTCATTTGGCTTCATCTTCTCTCTCGTGCTATTAGTGAAGGCACTGATTTGATATGGTTGTACAGTCATGTGTCAAACACTGGATCTACCTCCTCATATCTCACTCGGTCTCAACCTGTTTCTCAGAATCATCCTTCACAACACACTCTTTCCCATTCACCACTGCTGATTCTGACTGTGCTTCATTTACTGACATCAAAACATTACTTGATTTTGATTGGCTCTCAGTGGAGACACCGTTAGTGGTGTTTGATTGTTGTTCCTCCTCCTCACTTTCGTTTTTTGTGGCACAATTTCCGTTATGCAGATGGGACTCGATCTGGCCATTCATGTTTGAATGGTCTGATTTCTCACAAGCATTGGTTTCCGCTGACTGACTTTCTGCATTTGCGTCTGTGGCCTCTTGCGTCTGTTCCCCATTCGCTGTGACCTCCTCAGTAACCTCTCCATTACTGCTCTGCAGCTCTGAAGCTTCATTCTTATTGGTGGATTCAGAGTTCTCCAGTTGAGCCTTTTCAGCCTCTTCTGCTGCTTTCATCTCTTTCAGCTTCTCTTTGAACTCCATCATTCTTGTGCTTAAGCAGAAACAACAGTGATTTATTCAGCTGTTTCCATAAACTACAAATGCACCATATACAGAATCAGAAGCTAGAATTCTGCAGAAACTGAATGCAAATCATTCACAAAATTGACGCCTCCCCAGAAGTTTTTTTTGTTATTTATTTTTTGTTTTGCCTTATGAACTCTTTCAAAATGTAATTATAGTAAGTAATAATAGTAGTAACACCCGCTAACAAGCAACAATTTTATTTGAATATACATTTTTTTT